CAGCAGCAGAGTGCCCCCGACCTGCTGCATGCGCTGCAGGGCCTTGCATGCGTTTTGGGGCTTTTTGGGGGCGCAGCAGCGGCGGGCGGCCTCGGGCTGTCTTCTGCGAAAAGCGCAAAACTCCGCAACAATCGAGCTATTCGCGAAGTTCCCGTTTTTGCTGCTGCAGCAGAGAATTTCCGATTTGCTGCTGAAATAAAGGCAAATAGCGCAATTTATTTCACTCCAAATGGCATTTAAAGTCCCCGAGGCAGCGCACTTTCCGTTGCGACCAGCTTTTGCTGCTGAACGGCTTTCTGCCGGTGCCGCTTTGAGGTGTACGTACACCTCGGGCCGGCGCGTTGAGGTGTACGTACACCGCAGACCGGCACCCGCAGGAAGCCGTTCGAAGCCGTTTCAATTCAGTTTTCGATCTTTTAGCGCCATTTAATTTCTTCTTTTCAAAAATAGACAAACTAGGAGGACTCGGGAGCTGCGAATGAAGCAGCAGGGACTTGAAATTCACTTTTCGTGTTTTCGACTGCTGCGCTGCAGCAGCTTTCCGACGCCCCGGAGCTCTCGTCGTGTTTCTGGGAACAGTTCCGGAAGTAACGAGTTTTAATGGTCCTGGGAGTATAAAATAATAATAAATAAAAGTGGAAAAATACATCTGAAATAAAATTTGTCAAATTTCATCGCAAAATGGAACTCTTTTGAATTGCTTGCTGCTGCCTTCTGGCCTCGCTGAAGGGATCTGGGGTGTTTGTGGTTCTTTGTCCACGCAGCAGGCGTTGTTAGACAAATATTATTTATTTTGAGCTCACGATTTAATTTTAATTAATATTTTGAATTCTTTTAATTTATTTTTGGTTTAATTCCCGCAATTCCGCGCAGAAGGATCTTCTTCCCAGGAGATCGGAAGAGCGTCGTGTAGGGAAAGAGTGCCTGCGTTGGGGCTGCGATCGCGTTTGAAATCTCCTTCTTTTTGGCTTTTTATTTCCCAATTAAATAAAACAAACAATTCATTTAATTAAATAAAAGTAAAGCTGTTTTAAAAGGACGCAGTTTCGGGAAATGCACAAGTGACCTCCCAGGTGTACCGACAGCTGCCGCAGCCGCCAAACAGCAGCAACGCCTGCGGCTGCCAATGAGCAGCAGCAGCAGCAGCAGCGCTTATCATGCATGTTATTTGATGAAAAAAGGAAATAAAAAAGCAACTAAATTAATTTAATTGTTATTTCTTCTGTTGGTTAGTTGCTGAACACTTCATGAAATGCAAACTCGCCGCTTCGGCGTCAGGCGCTCCTGCTGCTGAAGGTCTCTTTGCTTTTCTTCTGAAATGCTAAGAAACGCTAAAAGGGAAAGATCAGATAGCTGCAGCAGCAGCAGCAGCAACAGCAGCAGCAGCGGTGGCGATTGCAGCAGCAGAACCAAGTTTCCTGTCTGTCCAGGCTCTACAGATGTCGCAGCAGCAGAAAATGCAACATCAGCAGCCGCAGCAGCCGCAGCAGCAGCAGCAGCAGCAGCAGATGCTGCAGCAGACACCAACTGCGCGTCAGCTGGACCCCAAGCCCCTAAAGAGCAGCAACAAGTGAAAAGGCTACGCAGGGAACAACCAGCAGCAGCAGCAGCAGCAGCAACAGCAACAGCAACAGCAGTAACTGTTGCAGCAAATGACAGCACAGCAAATGGGGTCGACGGCAGCTGTGGGAAAGAAGAGAGAAGCAACAGCAGGGGCACAAACAGCAGTGACAGCAGCAGCAGCAGCAGCAGCAGCAGCAGCAACCGCAGCAACATGATAGGAGATAGTGGAGATGATGACTCTCAGCCTATAGACGGTTCGCGCTGCTGCCTCGATCAGCTAAACAGCAACAGCAACAGCAGCAGCAGCAGCAGCAGCAACAGCAGCAGCAGCAACAGCAGCAGCAGCTGCTGCTGCTGCTGCAACGATAGCGGCAACAACGGAAGTATCAGCAGCAGCAATGCATTTTTCAGCTTCAAGGGTAAGGCTTCTAGCCGCAGGAGCCGTTACCGCTGCAGCAGGAGGAGCAGCAGGAGCAGCAGCAGCAACAGCAGCAACAGCAGCAGCAGCAGCGACAGCAGCGACAGCAGTGGCGGCAGCGACAGCAACAACGCTTTTGGGGATAAGCAAGAATTTGTTGCGCAGCTGCAGCGCCCTTCTGCTGCTGCACCAGCAGCAACAGCAGCAGCAGCAGCAGCAGCAGCAGCAGCAGCAGCAGCAGCCCCAGCACCAGCAGGATCAGGAACAGCAGCAGCAGGATCAGGAACAGCAGCAGCACCCACAGGAGCAGCAGCAGGCGCAGCAGCAGTCCGGGCAATGTGCCAAACGATGAATCTGCTGCTGCTGCTGCTGGGGGGCCGCGCGAGTCTTGCTGCTGCTGCTGGCGTCTGCAGAGAGCTGCGTGCTGCTGTGCTGCGCTGCAGCAGCTGGTTTGAGGTGTCTGCGCAGCAGGGGCTCGTGACAGCAGCAGCAGCAAAAACTCTGGAGCTTTCGGAAAGAAGAAGCAAAGGAAAAGTGTTTGCTGGTTTGCTTCCTGCTGCGCTGCAGCAGCAGCACCAGCTGCGCATGCAGCGAGCCCTCGAGCGCACCGTGCAGCAGCTGCACCCAACCAGCAGCAGCAGCAGCAGCAGCAGCAACGGCAGCAGCAGCAGCAGCAGCAGCAGCAGCAGCGGGGAGCTGCTGCTGCCAGTAGCCATTAGATCTGTTAATTTAAAAGTCTGCAACGCAGATGTCAATGATGGAGTTCCTGCTTCGCTGCTGCGCGAGTTGGCGCTGCTGCAGCTGCTGCAGCGCGAGCACGCCTTTGCTGCTGCTGCTGCTGCATCGTGCAGCAGCAGCCAGCAGCAACAGCAGCAGCAGCAGCAGCAAGAGTTTCCTATTGTCAGATATGTCGGAGCTGAACTCAAAAACTCAGTGCTGCATATTTGCACGGAGTTCCACAAAAGAAACCTCAGGGCCTACTGGAAGGCGAGCAAACCCTAAACCCTAAACCCTAAACCCTAAACCCTAAACCCTAAACCATAAACCCTAGGCCTCTGAGCCTTCGCTAGTCCTTGAAAGCTAAATAAATCCTTAAAGATCAAAATAAACTTTCATAAGCCTTTCCAAACCCTCATAAACCCTCATAAACCCTCATAAACCCTTATAAACCCTCACAAACCCTCACAAACCCGTCTAAACCCTCATAAATCCTCGCGAACCCTTCTAAACCCTTTTGAACTCTTACTCACCTTCATAGACTCTCCCAAACCCCAACAAACCCTCGTAAACGCTCTTGTGCTTTTCTAAACCCTCGTAAACCCTCATAAACCCTCATAAACCCTCATAAACCCTCATGAAGCTTCTTAAACCCTCCTAGATTCTCTTAAGCTCGCCTAAACCCTCACAAACCCCGTAAACCATTCCAGTAAAGCTTTTAAAACGCCCTGGAGTAGGAGTTGCTGCTGCTGCTGCTGCCGCTGTTGCTGCTGTTGCTGCTGCTACTGCAGGAGCTGGAGCTGCTGGGGTTTTTGTCTCCGGAGTTTCTGAGGTTTAAAAGGTGGTTGGCGCTGAGGGTTTTCGAGGGTTTGCTGCAGTCACTTTGCTTCCTGCATGCTGCTGCTGCAGTCCACAGAAACGTCAAACCCGATAATATTCTGCTGCTGCTGCAGCAGCAGCAGCAGCACCCCACAGCAGCAGTCTCCCGAGTTACACATGGTCAGCTGCCAGTGCTACTGCTGCTGCTGGCTCTGCTGCGATGGCCTCTGATTTTGTTGCCTCTGTTGCTGCTGTTGCTGCTGTTGCTGCTGTTGCTGCTGTTGCTGCTGTTGCTGCTGTTGCTGCTGCTGCTGCTGCTGCTACTGTTGCTGCTTTTTTGACAAGCCATGCTTTTGCTGATGTCTTTTGCTGGTGTTGCTGTTGCTGTTGCTGGTTCTGGTATTGGTTTTGTTGCTGCTGCTGCTGGCGCTGCTGCTGCTGCTGCTGTTGCTGCTACTGCTGCAGCAAAAGTGTAGTGCATGCATGCTCTTCTGCAGCACTTCTTGCTTATTGCCGCTACCTGGCGCCTCTGTTTGCTTTCCAAAGTTCTCCGGCAGATTCAGCAGCAGCAGCAGCAGCAGCAGAAGCAGCAGAAGCAGCAGAAGCAGCAGCAGAAGCAGCAGTAGAAGCAGCAGCTGGAGTAGCAGCTGCAGCAAACGATAGAGGGTCTTTCGACAGCGGCGCGACCCCATCAGCAGCAGCAGCAGCATCAGCGCTAGCTGCAAACACTGCAGCAGCAGCGCCAGCAGCAGCAGCAGCAGCAGCAGCGCCAGCAGCAACAACAGCAGCAGCAGCAGCAGCAGCAGCAACTTGTTTGTCTCCTTTTGAATTCTTTGACTCTTTTATAAAACCTCCAAAAGTCAAACTCAGCGACTTCGCCATGGGGCGTCTCCTTGACACCAAAGATGTTCGACTGACGCCTGAAAGTACAACAAATGCTGCTGCTGCTGCTGCTGCTGCTGCTGCTGCTGCTGCTGCTCTTTGTTGGGCGCAGCTCTGTCAGAGCTTTTTCCCTGCTGTCAACGGCAACTTTCTAAAACTCCCTAATCCCTAAGCCCTAAACCCTAAACCCTAAGCCCTAAACCCTAAACCCTAAACCCTAACTTGTGGTTTGGCGGGTGCGTTTAGACCCTCGGGACCGCGAGCGCTCTTTGCGGGAAAGCGAGCGCATGCCCTACAAGGCTCCGGAGCTGCTGCTGCTGCGTCAGCAGCAGCAGCAGCAGCAGCCGCAGCAGCAGCAGGGCTACGGCTTTGAGGTGGACATTTGGTCTGCTGCTGTCGTCTTCTTCGAACTTGTTGCTGCTGCTCCTCCCTTTTGCTGCAGCAGCGAGCTGCTGTACTTTCTAGAATGCTGCAGGCTGCTGGGAACTCCCACCACGAGGCAGCAGTGGCTTCGGATACTGAGCCCCCCACAGCAGCAGCAGCAGCAGCAGCAGCAGCAGCAGCAGCGGCAGCAGCGGCGGCAGCGGGACAGGGAGGAGGAGGAGCCGGGGGAGAGAGAAGCAGCAGAAGAAAAAGCAGCTGCTGCTGTTTGCCCAATGCTGTGGCTGGAGCTGCTGCCGCTCTGGCCGGCCCCGCGCTGGCAGCTGCTGCAGCAGCAGCTGCAGCAGCAGCAGCAGCAGCAGCAGCGGCAGTGGGCTGCACACATACGTGAACGCGGCACGCAGCAGGACCAGCAGCAGCTGCAGCAACTGCTGTGGCGCCTCGACCTCCTGCAGCAGCAGCTGCAGCAGCAGCAGCCCTCCAGCAGCGCTGCCCCAGCCACAGCAGCAGCAGCAGCAGCAGCAGCAGAAACGCTAAGTGAAGATACTGCAACAGAAGCAGAAAAGATTCTGCTGCAATTTGGCCGCCTCATTGGGCCAGCGCCGCTGCTGCTGCTGCAGCAAACTTTGACAATAGACAGGACACAGAGAATATCAGCAGGTCTGCTGCTGCTGCGGCTGCTGCTGCACCTGCTGCTGCCATTGTTGATACTGCTGCTGCTGCTGCGGGTTTTCTTGCTGCCGATGATACTGCTGCTGCTGGTGCTGTTGGCTTCCCTTTGCGTTTCTGCTGCTGCTGCTGTTTGCGTACGTGCCAGCGTCAGCGCTGAAGCTGTTGCTGTTGCTGTTGCTGCTGCTGCTGCTGCTGCAGAGAAGGCACTGCAGCTGCTGCAGCTGTGCATAGAAATCGAGATTTGCAGCAGCCGCATAGAGACAACAGCAGCACGGGTTGCAGCTCGAGCAGCAGCAGCAGCTGCTGCTGGAGCACCAGCAGCAGCAGCAGCAGCAATAGCAGCAGCAGCGACAGCAGCAGCAGCAGCAGCACCGCAAGAAGCGGTCCTGACACCCAAGGACTGCAGCAGCAGCGGCAGCAGCAGCAGCGGCAGAAGGTTCGACAGCAGCAGCAACGCTAAGCGCAGCGACATCACCAGCAGCAGCATCAGCAGCTGCAGCAGCCGCAGCAGCAGCAGCAGCATGACTCGCAGCTGGAGGTGAGAAGCAACTCGAACCGCAGCAGCAGCAGCAACAACAGCAACAGTAACAGCAACAGCAGCAGCAGCAGCAGCAGGCCGATAAACAAAATGGAAGAGCTGGAAAGAGGCGAAGAAATTAAAAAAGACAAAATTAAAAAAAGAAAACAATTTAATATAAAAGAAGGAATAAAGAAAGAATATTCAAAAAGAAGAATACAAAAAAATAAAATAAAATAAAATAAAATAAAATAAAATAAAATAAAATAAAATAAAATAAAATAAAACGAAACAAACCGAATATGCTGCTGCTGCTTTGTTGCGGTGCCTTTTGCAGGTTGCAGACGCCGAGCAGCAGCAGCAGCAGCAGCAGCAGCAAATGCATTCACAACAGACGCAGCAAGCAAGAGGCTGAGACTACCGAAACTTATAGTCCCAGCAGCAGCAGCGACAGCAGCAGCAGCAGCAGCAGCAGCAGCAACAGCAGAGAGATCCCCTGTTGGCCTGCTATAGTTAAGCTGGCCTACAAGTGCTGCTACCGCAGCAACGAGCAGCAGCAAAAAGAAAAGGAGGCGAAGCAGCGACTGCTGCTGCAGCTGCAGCGAATCGAAAAACAAAATTGCCGGGGGCAGCAGCAGCAGCAGCAGCAGCAGCAGCAGCGGCAAAAAGCAGAGTGCAACGCGCTATGGGAGGAGGCCAAACACCTGCTGCTGCCTTTCCTTGAAGTATCTGTAAGTTTGTTCTCTGTTTCTGCTGCTGCCGCTGCTGCTGTGCCTTTTGCTGCTGTTGCTGCTGCTCTTTAGATTGCGGCATTTTGGACAGCAGCAGCAGTAAATCCTGTTGCTGCTGCTGCTGTTGCTGCTTGTATCTGCCCTTCTGCTGCCAGGAGACCTTCGCTGCTATTCTTTCCCATCAATGCTGCTGTTTCTGCTGTTTCTGCTGTTGCTGCTGCTGCTGCTGCTACAGATTGACACCCTAGTGGCGCTGCAGCATGAGTTCCAACTGCAGCAGCAAACGCTGCATGCTGCTGCGATGTACATACACCTCGTGCTGCAGCAGCAGCTGGTCGAAGAGACAGCAGCCCATTTGCTGCTGCATACGAAAGAGGCGGAGAAGCTACAGCAGAAACTGCTGCTGCTGCAGCAATCGGAGGCACATCTACAGCAGCAGCAGCAGCAACTGCAGCAGCAGCAGCAGCAGCAGCATCAACTGCAGCAGCAGCATCAGCAACGCTTGCTGCCGAGAATGTCTCTTTCCCTGCAAAGCAAACGTGTGGTTGCAGCAGCAGCAGCGCCAGAAGCAGCAGCAGCAGCAGCAGCGAGCAGGTGTGTCAGGTCGCAGCGTTTCTCCCAGGCAGTCAGCAGCGGCAAGAGCAAGAGCAGCAGCAGCAGCAGCAGCAGCAGCAGCAGCAGCCCAGACGCAGAAGCAGAAAGCAGCACAGCCAGCAAACGCCTACAACTCAATGCAGTACAAGCAGCAGCAGCAGAAGCAAAACAATCCACTGCAGCGTCGAGTCATCAAGGCACCACCACTGGCAGCAGCAGCAGCAGCAGCAGCAGCAGCATCTCTGGTGCGTGGCAGCAGCAGCAGCAGCAGGTAGCTGCGGAGCCACCTACAGACTCACTAGAAGGGGGCAGCCATTTGCTGAAGCAGCGGAAAAGGCGTTCAGCAGCAGCAGCAGCAGCAGCAGCAGCAGCAGCAGCACGAGTAGCGACAGCAGGAGCAGCAGCAGCAGGAGCAGCAGCAGGAGCAGCAGCAGGAGAGCAGCAACAAGTGGAAGAGCTGCTGCTGTTGCACCTGACTGCTGCAGCAACAGTCCCCAAAGCTGTGCTGCAGCGCCTCTGCTGCTGCAGCCTTGCTGCAGCAAAAGTTGCTGATGTCTTTTTTGAAAGAAGCCAAGAGTATTACAAAACAAATAATGCTGCTGCTTATGCGGAGTCAGCAGCAGCAGCAGCAGCAGCAAACGCATTCAAGAACCAATTCGAGACAGCCGTCGCAGCTGCGGCAGCTGCTGCTGCTGTTGCGGTAGCAGCAGCAGCAGCCAGCAACAGCAGCAGCAGCGGCAGCCGACCAAATCAGCAGCAGCAGCAGCTATGTGGAAGTGGGGCGCCTTGGGCTGAGGGCAGCGCTTTAGATGCAGCAGCAGCAGCAGCAACTCCCCTGGCAGCAACAAGAGCAGCAGCAGCAGCAGCAGCAGCAGCACAGACAGCAGCAGCAGCAGCTCGCGCTGCAGTGGAGCCCCTAGAGGTGCTGCTGACAGCAGAGCTGCTGCTAGCTGAAGAGGAGCGGCTGCTGCTGCTGCTGGACTTCGATTTGCTGCTGCCCATGTCTCCTTTTGCTGCTCTCTCATCTCTGTGGCAAATAGCTGAGGCCTCTTCCGCTGCAATTGCCAGTCGCGTGCTGCAGCAGCAGCAGCAGCAGCAGCAGCAGCACAAGCAGCAGCAGCAGCAGCAGGAAATGTGCTTTTGCCCTGTCGCCCTAGAAGCCCTCAGCGCTTGTCCCGCGTGCTCGCCT